AAAAGAGGACGTGTCCCAACCCGCCCCCTCCCCTCGGAGGAAAAGGGGCCAAGCTGGCCCAGCGCTTCTTGGAACCTCCGGCCGGCCAAGAGGAAACCTGCTCTAACCCCACTCCGATGTCCTGAAGACACTGTGGGACCCTCTGGCCCTGGGGAGCCCCGAGGCCCGGGGACAGAGGGCCGTGGGAGTCCGCAGGCCAGTGCCCAGCACCCAGCAGGCTCACGGCCACAAGAAGGGACGATGGGCATCGTGGGGTCCTGGGTTCAAATCCTGCTCACCCCTGTTAGCTCTGGGGTCAGACAGGCTGCTTCCTCATCAGCAACCTAGAAACAACAAGAGCCCCCAGCTTGTGGTGAGAATTCAGTGAGGCTTCAGATACCAAGTGCTAAATGCCACGTGTGGTAGGCAGTGATAGCCTGACCAGTGTCAGCTCTTGTTTGGGGTTTTTTTGGCTGCACCAAATCTTCATTGCAGCACTCGGGATCTTTAGTTGCAGCACGTGGGATCTAGTTCCCTGACCAGGGATGGAAGCCGGGCATGTAGTCTTAGCTGCTGAGTCACCAGAGAAGCCCTGTGTTAGCCACTGCCATGTCAGGTGGATCTCTGAGGCCTGCAGGTCGCCTCTCCTCTCTGGGAGGCAGGGCCGAGGGCCCGCAGCAGGCAGAGCCTGCACACGAGGTGGGCCCAGAGAGAGGCAGCCATGCAGCTACCACGAATGGAGAGAGAATCACAAAAATCTGAGGGACAAAAACGGATGGTCTCCGTCTCCCCAGAGACCTACTCTGAATCCCCTCCGAAGCACAGTAATCCTGCACAGCTCCAGACAACATGCTGGTATCACCCAACACGCTGAACAGCACAGCGCAAGGGGCCTGGGACCCCATCTCATAGCTGAGCCTTGACCTGCAGGCAGAATAAGCTGTGTCTGCCCCGCCACCACGGTGAATCTAGCTGAGCAGAAGTGGTCAGCACCACCGCAGCCCCGAGTGCGACAGCTGATGACAGGTCGTTCGTGAAGTACCCAAGATGGGCCCCCAAGAGTGAGCACCTCATTTCACAGGCTAATTCATCACATTAAGATGGAGAGTGCCCTCTACTTCAGGTTCAGAAACCTCTTTTCCAAAATACCCTCATGAAGGAAGCACTGGACATCTAAATAGAAACTCTTATGAGACATGGGGAAGAATTTCACACTATTTGTATGTGACCGAACAGCAAGGGACAGTAACATTTCAACAATTCACACAAGCGGAAACACAACTGGCCAGCTCAAAAAAAAGAAAAAAAAAGATTAGTGAGGTCAACCTCACTAATCAAAGACATGAAAATGAAATGCCATTTTTACATTCCAGTCAAATAATTTGCTATCTAATCTTATAAATTGTTTTTTATGTTTATTCAGTCACATATAGCTCTGTGTATATGTGCTTTTAGCTAGCTTTTTTCCCTCCAATATGAGGTCATTTTTAACTCACTATATTGAGGACCTCTTTCTGGGCCAGCAAACGCAGCCAACTTCAGGATGCTTTGTTTTGTTTAGTTTTGTGTTGAATCACCATGTCACCTGTCATTCCCTTGTGTGGATGGAGACCCACTATGTTTAGCGGTTGCCTACTGATGGGCTGTTTACAGTTTTGGGTCTTTCTTTCATAAGCAATGCAACTTTGCACATGTATATTTGAATACCTGAGTGAGCATAATCATAGAAAAAACCAACACCCATAAAGGCTGGCTCACGTAGCAAAACATATATTATATACATATAATATATAACACACATATATGACATATATATAATACATAACATATAATATATAACATATATGTGTGTGTGTCATTTTAAATTTTGACAGACACAAGTTGTCCTCTAAATACTTCACTGTTGACTTGGTAACAATATCCATCTTACACTTTAATTTTTTAAATAAAAAGACCACTTTAAGATTTAAGATTACAGAGATGGTAAAAACCAGCCCAGATGGGCTCGGTTTGAGGTTCTTTGGCTGAGTTACCTCAGGTCCCCCAAATAAACCCCCAAACCAGTAATGCATGAACATGTAAATGCTTTGGACGCCCAGCATCAACTTCTGTTTCCTGCCTGGAGAGCCCCGTGTAAAAGCAGCAATGGGAAGGCAGCTGGGCTGACATGCAGGCTCCACCCTGGGCCCTCTCCTGCCAGCCCCAGCCCTCAGGACTGAGACAGGTACCCTGAGGGAGGAAGGAGCCCGGCTGGGTCACTAGAAAAGACTCAGTTTCAACCCCAGCTCTGGCAGTGGCCTACCGGATGACTTTGCACCAGTTGCTAAGACTCTCTGAGCCTCAGTTTTCCTAGTCTGTAAAATGGGCCCAATAAAACCTGCCTGACTCACTGGTTGGGATGAGGATCAGATGTGGGAAAGGATGTGAAAGTAACTGGTTTTCCTTCCTTGTGTTTTGGGTTTGCTGTCAGGTCTACAGCTGGGGAATTGGGGAGCCCAGTCTGGGGTTTTCTGACCACAAGTGCTTTCCCAGAAACAATCTTCTCTGAAGTTGTTAGTTTTTTTTTTTAATCTGAATAGATTATACATGCAATACAAAATTCAAAAGATCTAGAAGGCTAAATGTGAGAAACATCCTCTTCCCCCTCCTGCCCCCTCACCCCCTACTTCCCCTTCCCAGAGGCAGCCTTTGCCAGCTCTTTCTTCTGTTTTCCTCTGGGGTCAGTTTTTGTGCTCTTTCACAAAAATGCAGCATTCTACATCTATTACTCTGCATCTTGCTTTTTAAAGAGTTCACCAACATTTGTTGAAGCTTTTCCCCTATGAGTTCATATGGCGCTTCCTCTTTCTTTTTCCTCCCTACTTTCTACTTTGAAATATTTTAATGCTATTTAAAAAAAAAGTTGCAAGAATAGGAAAATAAACAACCATATTTTTAACTTCTTGAGAGAGTCCCTTGGACAGCAAGATCAAACCAGTCAATTCTAAAGGAAATCTAACCCTAAATATTAACTGGAAGGACTGATGCTGAAGCTGAAGCTCCAATACTTTGACCACCTGATGCGAAGATCCAGCTCACTGGAAAAGATCCTGATGCTGGGAAAGATTGAAGGCAGGAGGAGAAGGGGATGACAGAGGATGAGATGGTTGGATGGCATCACTGACTCAATGGACATGAGTTTGAGGAAACTCCAGGAGATAGTGAAGGACAGGGAAGCCTGGTGTGCTGCAGTTCCTGGAATTGCAGAGAATTGGATGTGACTTAGTAACTGAACAACAGCAACAATTATTAATACAGGCCATGTTTGCTTTATCTTTCTTTTTTTTCCCTAAGCTTTCCAAGAGTTAGTATTTCAATCCTAAATATTTCATCAGGTATCTCCTAAGAAGAACGATATTCTCTTTCATAACCACATTATGATGATCACATTCAGGAAACTCAGTATCAGTACAATGCTATCATGTACTATACTGCCTATAATCAGACTGCCCCAGGTATCTAATTTAAAAAAGCTTTTAAAATATTCAGGTTCCAATGAAGGATTTCCCATTGCACTTATGGTCATGTCTCTGTGTCCAGGCCAGTTTTGCAAACTATCCCTCAATTTGGATTTCCCAAAATCCTTCAAGACATTTTCATTTTTTTGCAGAAATAGTATACAGTTGACATTACACCTCATTATTTTTGATGACAACAGAGTACCCAGTGTATACAAACTGTATAGCTAGTCCTCTATCCAAAGAGGTCTAGATGATTTCAAATAATTTGTTTTATACAAAGTGACACAATGAACATTTTTAAAACTGTCATTTTGAAAGTTTCTGAGTACAGACTAGATCTATAGGTTATACACCTAGAAGAAGAATCACTGTACTTACACATATACGCATTTGTAATCTTGAACGCTATTGCTAAATAGCCCTTTACAGAGGATATATTTAATACTTCCACGTACACTGTGAGGATGCTTGCCCCTGAAGCTTGTCATACTTTCAAACTTTTCCCCTGTGTCCTGGCTAGTAGGCCTCGCAGCCTTGCTGAGCCACTGTCTGATAAGATTTCCTTACATTTTCCCCTGTGAGTTGGGGCTAGAATCCAGAGAAAATCCCATCTTCCAAAGACAAAGCCCAAAGAATTCTCCTGGAGCAGAATTCTTGATCTTTGTTACAAAACACATCTGTTTGTTAAGTAAGCTGCTACGATTCAAAAAGAGAGGTCTGTTAAGCAACACCTGATGTATACCTGCAAAGTGTGCATTCTTAACATGCTCATTTTACAGATATGCAAACAGGCTCAGGAGGTCAAGTAGCCTGGTCACTACAGTTTGTGTGCTCAGTTGCTGAGTTGTGTCTGACTCTTTGTGACGTTATGAACTGTGGCCTACCAGGCCCCTCTGTCCATGGGATTCTCCAGGCAAGAATACTGGAGTGGGCTGCCATCCCACCTCCAGGGGATCTTCCTGACCCAGTGAGAGAACCTGCATCTATTAAGACTACAATTTGAGCGAGCAATAACCAATCCAGACCAGTTTGGCATCACAGAAGTGAGAATAGCCTCCTTGATGTTGGGAGAGGAGGACAGATACTAAACAAAAACAAAAACAAAAACACTATAAAGTAACTCCAAATCCCAAAACTGCCAATCTCTGGCCGAAGCTTTCTGCTCAGATGACATCGACTTGTTTTTCGCCTTCCCATTATCAAGCTACCTGAAAACTACCTGCCCCAGAACACATCACTCTCAGGGCTCTTTTGACCTCTGTGGACTACACTTCCCAGAATACAGTGAAACCACATCCGCCTGCGCGCTTCCGCTTCCGGCCTAGGTGTTTTCTGGGAGGTGTGGTCTCAAACGGTACTGGTGTTGGGGCTGGAAAGAGTCCTGGGGGTAAGCCCACGTGGCACAAAGACTTGGAGTGGGAATACAGTCTTTATAAACCGAAGGCACTGGGCAGGCCTGAAATCACTTTCCACTTCACTTTATCCAGCAGACTGGCTCTGTGGCCACGCCACCCCGGGGATCTATCGGCCGCAACTGCCTCTGACGGACTTCAGGGTCAGCAGAGGTTCGTTCAGGAGGATCGTGGTCCTCACTTCGCCGCTGAGTCTTCTAAAGGCCCCAAGGCTCGGTCCTTTGGTCCCTATGGCATCGTATTTCCTCAGAAGCGCACCGTTTCTTCCTCTTTGACACACCCGCGCCTTCTAAGCAGTAAAGAAAAAAGAAAAAAAGGAAGCACCTTTTAAAAGTTATCTGGTTCTTTCAGATAGTTGTATTACAGGCAGGAAGTTCAAGAATAAAGTCTGGTGACTGAAGTCCGCTTCTGAATCAATAGCTGAAAGCAGAGTTCTCAACCTCCTCTTTGTTAAAACCCACATGCCGATGCCAACGGAGATCCGCTGAATCAGTCCCGACTAAGCTGAATCCGTTTGGAGAAAGCTCCTCATATGAGCTGCAGCCAAGGTCAAAGCCTCAGGTTTACAGGGAAAATACTAGATGCTTATATTCCAGATTTACCTACATTTTCTTAAAGAAGCTACCAGACTGCCTGATTTGAGAGCAATAAATGTACATGATTTATCACTGCATCCCCAGGACCCAGCCCATGCTGTCCTTGGGGCTGATATGCAGCTGGCATTTACCAGATGGCCAGTTGTCTGTGGCCGGTGGCCATTCATTGTTCAGTGCTCGAGTCTTCCTGGATGTTGAATACGTTGAATACAGTTCCTAAAAGTTATAGTCATTGTTTTGAAAGGGTGTGTGTGTGTGTGTGTGCACAAGCACACTTCACGGGGTGTAGGTGGAATTAAGAAAATTCAAGCTGGGAGAGACAGAGAATAGTCAGAGGCAGAGGTACTCGACAGCAACACTCAGAGAATGCCGGAACTCGGAGAAAACAAAGACCTGTGCAGCCACAGTCATCACGGAAGGCTTCTGGAAACCCTGCCTACTTCTCGTAGGTCAGGACCAAGGAGGCAATCAGCTCGTGTAACTAACAGCGCATGTCCAACCAGTGGGAAGAGGACGAGGAATATCATCTCGGCTTAGACCAACCGAGATTCGATCTCTGCGGCTGGGCACCCTGGCATGGGGTCACAACAGAAGAAAGGGAACTTATGACACCAAGTGTAACTGAACACAGCCCCTTCTCTGGGGTTCATTTACAACAAGCATTTAATGATTCCTATATTCTTCACCGAATGTTTATGGAAGGATGGAAAGTCCCACTGCACAATTCTTTTTAAAATCCACAACAGTGTTGGGGTTAAGATTAGACCTTTGTGTTCTAGAAAAAGCACCACTTTTTTGTATGTCCCCTTCCTTCCCTTTCCAGCTCTCCACATGTCTCAAAATTTAAAATTCCTTTTCCCGTCATCATTCAGAGCAATTCAGGTCTTTCTCAGCGTCTTTCCCACACCTGCCTCATCACCCCCATCACTACCGCAGGTGACCCTTGAACAACGAGAGGCTTCTGGCGCCAACCCCGTCGAAGTAAAAAATCCACCTATAACCTTGCAGTCAGTTGCACCCCACCCCACAATCCCAGGTTCTGCATCCAGGGATACAACTGTGAGTTGAGCGGTAAGTACATATTGACAGAAGTCAAACTCATGTTGTTCGAGGGTTGACGGCAGCACTTATGGAGGCTACTGCTGTGCAACTGGAATCTTTTGCTTGCAAGTGAGAGAAAAGTCAACTAAACTGGCTTGAACAAGAAGGGAGGTGATCAGCTCATGTAGCTAAGAGCCCAGGCCTGTGGTCACAGCTGGACCCAGGAGGTCAGACGATGTGATAATATGCAGCCTCTCTCCATCTCACCCTGTCATTTCCCTTGATGGGGACTTTGCCCTCAGGCAGGTTATCTCCCACAGTAGCCTTGGGAGCTACAAGTGTCCCTTCTCCCAGCTTCCCATCCACAAGGAAGGAGAGCTCCTGACCCAGCAGGTCAGGTGAAAGCCCTGAGCCCAAGTTCTCATCAGCCCCCAGCATGGACGAAGTGCCCCTGCCTGAGCCCCCTTCTGAATAGAGATGGATTGGATGATCACACCTGCAATCATCAGGTCAGGGGCAGTCCGCACCATCAACCCACGGACCTGGAGTGCATGCAAACTTGTCCCCTCAAGGCAGGCGGGAGACTGACCGCAAAGACAGGAAGGTGGATGTTGGGTTAGACCGTGACTGTCTGCTCGGATGCACGCTGGGTGACACTTCACACAGATGAGCCAGTTAATCACCCCATGAACACTACCTCCCTGGTGGTCCACTGGCTAAAATTTTGTGCTCCCAATGCAGGGGGCCGGGCGGGGTTCAATCCCTGATTAGGGGATTAGATTCCACATGCCACATCTAAAAGACACCATATGTTGCAGTGAGGATCGAAGATTCTGTGTACCTCAATACACAGCTGGTACAACCAGCCAGCCAAGCAAACAAACAAAAACACTCACCAGAGGGACTATTACACCATCAAATTGATGAGGAAACTAGGCCAGCAGGGAGACGATGAGGTTTACACCCAGGCAGTCCTAACTCCAGAGCCAGGTGCATTTGGGTGCTCAGCAAAGGGAAGGGTCTTCCAGTCAGCAGGACACCATCCCCTAGCAGGCAGTTTAGTGGTTGCTGCCACCTGAACGTAACTTCAGGGGTCCACCTTAACCCTGAGCAGCTCAAGAAAGTATTTCTAATAAACATACATGGCCCTTTCCACTAGAACTATTTTGAGGATTGTGGTTAAAGGGGTCCATGAATTTGGATGCTATTTCTGATGAAAGTCTGTGTGCCCCTGATATCCTCCACATGATGATACTTAAGGGGGGGGGGGCGCCTTTGGGAGATGAACAGAGTTAAAAGTCAAGAGGGTGGGACCCTCTATCATGGGATTAGCGCCATGTTGGGACACAGTGATAAAGCAGCTGTTTGACAGCCAGGAAGTGGGTTCTCACCAGGAACTAAATTGGCCAGCATCTTGATCTCAGGCTTCCAGCCTCCAGCACTGTGAGAAATAAATATCTGGCATTGAAGCCACTCAGTTCAATTAGATCAGTCACTCAGTCATGTCTGACTCTTTGTGACCCCATGGAGTGCAGCACACCAGGCTTCCCTATCCATCACTAACTCCCAGAGCTTGCTCAAACTCATATCCATCAAGTCAGTGATGCCATCCAACCATCTCATCCTCTGTGGTCCCCTGCTCCTCCTGCCCTCAATCTTTCCCAGCATCAGGGTCTTTTCAAATGAGTGAGTTCTTAGCATCAGGTGGCCAAAGTACTGGAGCCTCAGCTTCAGCATCAGTCCTTCCAGTGAATATTCAGGACTGGTTTCCTTTACGATTGACTGGTTTGATCCTTGCAGTCCAAAGGACCCTCAAGAGTCTTCTGCAACACCGCAGTTCAAAAGTATCAATTCTTCGGTGCTCAGCTTCCTTTATGGTCCAACTCTCACATCCATACATGACCACTGGAAAAACCATAGCTTTGACTAGACGGACCTTTGTTGGCAAAGTAGTGTCTCTGCTTTTTAATATGCTGTCTAGGTTGTTGGTCATAGATTTTCTTCCAAGGAGCAAGTGTCTTTTAATTCCATGGCTGCAGTCACCATCTGCAGTGATTTTGGAGCCCAAGAAAATAAAGTCTGTCACTGTTTCCATTGTTTCCCCATGTATTTGCCTTGAAGTGATGGGACCGGATGCCATGATCTTTGTTTTCTGAATGCTGAGTTTTAAGCCAGCTTTTTCACTCTCCTCTTTCACTTTCATTAAGAGGCTCTTTAGTTCCTCTTTGCTTTCTGACATAAGGGTGGTGTCATCTGCATATCTGAGGTTACTGATATTGACTGAAGCCACTCAGTCTATGGTATTTTATTATGGCAGCCAGGGCTGACTAATACAGATGTGGGAAAAAAATGACACCTTCATGTACACTGACCTTTAACTGATATTTCACATTTCCTTCCATGACGACTGTAGGCAAAGGACACAGGAGTATCGGCAAGGCCTGTGACTTCCTCACTCTCAGAAACTGCAGATGTCTTCACATCACGTTATAGTTGTTACTGACATCTGAAAATATCATTGATGCTCATCACTTCTTGGAAAGTCTAATGTTATTAGACTGCTTGCTAGAGCTGGTTATTAAATAAGTTACTAACAAGCACAGGAATTATTATATCACAAATTTGGATGCTTTTTATCTTAACTGTATTCAATATAACTGGTGTCCTCAAGACTCCTTGAACTTTATTTTATACACTTAAAAATACTATCTGAAGAGCTTTCCTGATGGTACAGTGGTTAACACTCTGCCTGCCAATGCAGGGGACATGGGTTCAATCCCGGGTCCGGGAAGATCCAACATGCTGCAGGGCAACGAAGCCCATGCGCCATAAATACTGAGCCCTCATGCCTCAAGCCTGTGCACTGCTAATAGAGAAGTCACTGCAATGAAGAGAAGGCCATGCAACTAGACACTTGCCACAACCAGAGAAGCCCACACCCAGCAATGAAGACCCAGTGCGGCCAAAAATAAATACACAAATAAATTATAAAAATCTTTATAAATTATTTGAAGGACACAGGTGTGGGCCTAGAAGCAGTCTGGGGAGTAACTGTTCTCTTCCTTATTATGACTTCTCATGGAAAGAACCACTGATGGACTCGCAAGTTTCTGCCCAAAGCACATAAGCCCTGGGGACATCCAGGCCGCCAGCAAATCCCCAGGGATGTCTGCAGTTAGGAGCGAGGGCCCAAGATGGGGGTTACAGGAACACAAGCCTGGGGTTCCCACAGGCAGACTGCTGCTCACCATCGGAGTGACCCCACCCTCGAATGGACCCACACCCACTCCTGCCTCCTCCAGGGAGGTAGGCTCCTCTAATAAGGGAGGCTCACTGTTCCAAGGCAATCCTTTGGAAAATAAATCAGATCACATCACTCAGTCACTTGACACTTCCGTGGCTCCCCAGTGCCCTCAGGATCTCATCGACGCTCCATTCCACGGCCCACAAGGGCCGACCCATGCAGTCTCACCTTTTTCTGTCACCCCGTCATTCTTCCAGAGCCCTCGGCTTTGCAACATGCCTTGCTCCCTCCAGCTTCATGGCTTCCAGCCCTGCGGGCGCCTCTGCCTGCACTGCCTTCAGCTCCTTGTCCGGCTGATGCCCTTTCCTCCGGCATCACTGAGACTCCCTCCAGGACAGAGAAAGCACC